ACAGAGTCCCCGGGAGGATCCCTGGGAGCGGCCGGCCGTTTCCTGGCGCGGGGAGCCCAGGGGTGACTTCGAAAGCGATTACTTGGGGGTGGTGGTGTTAAAAAAAGCGTTTTGTGGGCAAAAGCATGGTGGCAGGGGTTGGTGTGAGCCACTGGGTAGCTCCAGGGTGCGGAGGGACGCTGTGCGAGCTTAGTGGTGCAACGGAGGAAGGTGGCAGCTTTTCTCCCCTCCGGGTTTCATCTGCTGCTGCCTTTCCTTACGTGGGACTTCACATGGCTCTTCAGATGACAGTAACCCCAGGGAAGCCCTGGAGGCTTCTCTTTAAGGCGTGCTTTTGGCTTTGCTGGAATGGGGCGTCGATGAGTCCCTCCCTGCCACCCCCCTGTATACAAAGGAAACAGGAGTTTCTTTGTTCATGGCGCTGGGTATTCCTGATATGGATGGGCTGGTTCTGGCAAAGGAGTGCCTGTGTGCAAAGGGATAAAACTGGAGTACAGTAATGTCTGCACTGTAACCGTTTTTCTCTAATTTGGAAATGTAGTGCTTGAATTTTACAGTTGCTATGTACAGATTTTGCATAACGTAAGATTTGTACTTACTGTAAAACTCTACTTAATGCAGTGTAACTTGGCAATACTGGGGAGAGGAATAGGCCCATTGAAAGGTTTAAATTCAGCTTCTCTTCTGGATTAACAATGAAGGCAAAGCATTTGGCATATGGGCTAGACAACATCTTTAGTGGTACAAGAGTCCATTCTTTTTTTTTTTTTTTTTTGCTCCTCGTCTTCCTAGTATCCTGAAATGTGCTGGGGGAGTCCTTGTAGATCTCTAACCTCCCATAAGAAATCATACATGAGTATGGTTATTTTAAAGTGGTGCTATGTTGTGCTGATAGCTTTTTGCAAAAAGTGTAACTTGTTCTTAGTAACTTCTAGGTTTGTTTTTTTTTAAACAAATTGTTTATCATCTGCAGTTTTGAACAACTTTAGAGCACTAAAATATTAATTTGATGTTAAGTTAGAAAAATGTAAATTAATATCCCGGAATCTTAACTTCTAATGTTTCCTAAAAATCTCAACTTCGTCTTTCACCTTGTGTAGGCTGTTCTGGTGGTAATGATAGTCAAGATTAATAAGCTTTGAATTGCTCAAAGCTTATTATCTTACATTTGCATCTGAATGGATGCCTCTTGAAGTTAATGTGTGTCTGTTGTCTAGGTCTGACTGTAGGATTAGGATTAAATCACTGACATGGGCAGAAGAAGGAATAAAATGTTGTGTTGGAGGCCTATTGTAATATAAGATGAATGATATGTATTGATAACTGTAGTTAAAATTTCCATAGCTAAACTACTATACAGCATCAGACTATTACCACAAAGAAAAAAAACACATTCTTGTTATTTCTTGCAGGTTACTTACATTATGCTTCTGATAGAATTGGTCCATCTCATTTTTAGTAGCTTTTATTTTTGGTTGGTCTTTAAGTTAGGGGTGATGACACTGGAATGATACTAAGCGGTAAATGTATGTTTTAAACTGACATTTTAGACATGCTTGTTTGAAAATACAGCATGGCAATTGTTTTTGTAACGTTTCTAGGATTTTCTTAAGCACTTCTGTAGCCCGCAAAAACCAATAACTTGAGGCTCGAATCCAGTATTTTTCCAGGGATGTCTGTTCCCAGGGATGTCAGATTTAGAAGAATGAGTGGACTTGCAGACCTTTGCACTTGACAGAGTATTCAGTTTATTACACTGATTTCTTCATGCTGTTCAGTTTGTTACAGTAGTTTATGCAGCGACATTAGACTTTGTGCTATCCTTTCAAATGACTTAATGTTCATCTTAACTTGAAAATGTTCTGTGTTTTTTTTAATGTAGCCTAAACTATACAAGTCCATTATTGAAGATGTGATCGAAGGTGTGCGGGATCTCTTTGCAGAAGAGGGTTTAGAGGAACAGGTTCTGAAAGACTTGAAGCAGGTTTGTTGGGTTCCCCTGCATTAACAGAAGTTGTGTATTTGTTTTCTTTTGAGATGATGTACTTGTCCTTTTCTTTGCTCTCCAAAACATGTGAACTTTTGCCCTAACTTAAGAGTTAGAAATAGCCTGCGAATGATCTGTTTGGCTGCTGGAAATCAAACTTCAGTAGTGAATTGTTACCATGTTTATTGGCTAGAATCAGTCAGTTTACTTTTGGAAAAACTAGGAATACCTGGTTATCATTTTAGATGTGGGTTATTTTTAAAACTGATATCTGTTGACCTTAATAATCTTTCTGCAGCTTTGGGAAACCAAGGTGATGCAGTCTAAAGCAACAGAAGGCTTCTTCAGACATAGCCACCATTCTCCACAGTTTACCCTGCAGTTGCCGCACAATTTCCACCGCGTTCTGCAGGCTTCAGCAGGTCAGATGTTGTTGAACACAACAGATGCAATTTAAGAATAGCTCAGGGATTCAAGAATCTTTTTGGAAGACTTGAAGGTGCTGCAGTAATCTTGGTTTGTGATGCTTATGTGTATATCTAGCGTGATGGGGAACAGTGATTATTTGAAAGCAGAATTGATAAACTAATGCAATTATGTCTATGTGCTCTTGATCTGCTGCTTATTTCCACTAGCAAAATGTGAAGAGAATTTTAGCTTCGCCTGCAGTCCAGAAGTGTAGCCCTTCAATTGCAAATTACCAGTAGGGTTAAGATTTCACTTCCCCTTTTACTGCGTGGCATGATGTGCGCTGAGGTTATATGGCATGTTTGTGCCATGCAGCTCTGCTGTCACGTTAGAGTTTAATCTGGTTCTGCACTTGTTAAAATGTAAAGCCTTGCTTAAACAGAAGAGTGGGAGTTTTGGGGGAGTTTTTTTGTTTTGTCTTTCAGTGAGTTTTCCTAAAAGCAGTATTCCCGTTGAACAGTAGTAGTTGACTTTCACACAGACTCTGACATCAGGACCTATTCTTCTCAATTAAATCCAGCTGACCACTGTGGTAATGTTATGGTGGAGTGTAATGCTCAGCTGAGGCTTCTCCCAGTGTGAGAGGCCATTAGGACCTTTCCCCACAAAGGACAAAAAACATATGATGTAATGAAAATCTGTGTCGTAGTGCACTTCAAGGTTGGGCAGGCAGTCTTCATCTGTTTTTTTACAATCTTAATAGTTGAATGGACTGTTTTTGGAGACATATTTTATTTATTCCATGTGGTTAAAGGGAATATACTTTTTGGTTTGTTTGCTATTGGAGGCTTTATATTTAATTTTTACCTTGTTACTCCTAATTTTTGCAAGGGCAATACTAAGGCAAAACAATCTGAAGCCAGTGAACTTTTTTTTTTTTAAATGGGATTCAAATTGTTCTATGGCTAGAGATTTTCAAAGTAGTTAGGGCTACCTAAATTGTTTGCTTCTTGAAGCCTGTGAAAGTTTTCCCTTTGGCTTATCTTCTCCCACTGAAGTCCGTATTGAGTGCTTTTGAAAATCCCACCCTACTGTTCCTCCTATTAGCACCACTGGATTTGCTCTGGCGCAGAAAGATACTTGCATATTTGCCTCATGTTGACCAGGCAGTGCATTTTACCTATGTGTCCTTGGTGATGTTAAAATGGTAGCACTGCACATCTGTCCTTCTAGCTGATGTAATAAATAGAAATGGCATGCTTAATTTTTGCAGTGCAACTTAAACAGGTCAAATAGTTAAATAGAAACATTTTTAAAACAAAAAAAAATATCTCCAAGACCAGCTTTTAGTAAAATGTAACTTTTATAAATTCAGGGTATAACCCCTCCCCCCTGAGTACAGCATAAGCTTGAAGCAACATAAAGGGAAGTGTATTCAAGAGCCTTAGCTAGATGTGCACGCTTGTTTGATCTAATGAGTATGAACTGAAGTTAGATTGCTTTAGTTTCAGCAGTGCTTGCTGTAAATTACTGAAAGATCTACTGTGTCTGAGAAATTACTGTTTTTGTAAAGTGGTTTTTTTTTTGTTTTTTTTTTTTTTTTCCTCCTTGGTATAGCTTCTTTAGTCATCCCAACTGGCAGAGGTTTTCAGCATTTCACAGCAGCAGATCTGGTATGTAGCTGCAGTGACACTTTATTTCCATTTTGATTATTCTGGATTCTAAATGATAAAAGTTTGTCAGTTGTTAATAGGCTTAAGGGGAGGCAAGTATTAAATATTTTCCATGTATAGATGCTTTAGGATAGCATTTAGGGACCAAAAAAGTAGCATTTCTCATGACAGTTTTATCTGTCCAATGTGGTGTAGTAGGCAAGGGAGCAGGAGTTCTGCTGAGAGAGAATCAACAGCTGAAGAAACTCAGTGTTGTTACTTCTAGCTCTTTTTTTTTTTTTTTTTTTTAACCCATACAAAAGTTAAGAGTCTGCAGAGGGAGAGCTGTACCTCTGCTGCTTCTGTTCGAGCAGTGGAAGAGGATGGGGATCTACCAGTTGGTTTTGCAATCAGTGCAGCCAGAAGCGTGTCGGAAGACATGGCTGCACGTGTTTAGCCCATAGAACGGAGGTGTAGTGGAAGTGCACACCTACAGATCCTTATTTATTTATTTATTATTATTACTGGTTGTTAAAATAATGCATCGTTGGGAAATGGCTAGCACTAGTGAGGCTGGGTGCAGCATTATCTGCAAGGTATAGAAATCATTGCTGAGAAAGTGTTGTTGGTGTTGACAGGTTCTGAACTCTGGGCATGGCAAAATTTGTTTGGTGAGGGGAAGGGGTATTAATTGTCAGAGCTTGATGGACTTATTGAGTGCCTCCTGAGCCTCAAGCTAACTAGCTTGCCAAGCTGAAATATAATATTGGGAAAGTGTTTGCGTAACATGCAAGTTTCCCAATTTAAAATTTGGATTTCCCCAAACCAGCTAGTTTGAAAGGGAGCCTTATATCCAACTCTGCTTTCCAGGAGAAAAAGAGAATGTGAAGTGACTTCATGGGCCTAGGCAAGGGGTCTGTGCTGTGTCAAGTTGTACATAAGCTTAGGTAAAAGTGGTTCTGAGTGGAAAAATACCTTTCTGGATGGTGTGTACATTGAGGGGGTACAGAAAAGTGTTCTGTTAACGAAAAGGGAATGTGATAACTGGAAAGTAGGAAACACTTAGGGCAAGTCATTATCCTGTCAATATAGAATACTCTTTATCTGTCTAAATCTCAGAAGTCTGAAGCAACTCTTCAGTAAAGATGATTACAAAAAGGCCCTCATCAATGTTTCATCTGGATGTGTTACGTGTGACGTTCAAGGCCCTAGGAGATAAAGTATGCACTATTTCTTAATAAAGCTCTTATGTATCTAGGGTGCTTCACGAGCGGGTGCAACTCTTACTCTCCCTTCGGGTATTGCTTATCCTATACATGTACCAGCTGGAGTGACGCTACAGACGGCATCTGGTAAGATTAAAGAGGAGATGTAAAATGTTACAGTGCATTGACTGTATGTGGATATTGAAAGATGGTCCCGAGTACAGTAGATAAAACAAACGTGAAGTTAAAGTATGGGTGGGTAGAGCCAGTTATCCTCCTCTTCCTTTGTAGTTTGTGTTTGTAATTACTGCTGGGGGAAGTAATTACGTTGATTAGTTAGTGTGTCAGTTGTGTACACTTGCAAGATCAGTTAACATGGGCTGCCAGGTGATGCCATTTTTTTGTTTTACAATTGCTTGCAAATATGTTCCTTTGTCAGTCCAGACATAGGTATCTCCTCCTCCTATATGAGGGACAATCTTCCATGTTTTAAAAAGGTAAAGACATTCTGGTGCTTCAGAATCAAATTGATTTCTTACTCCAATAAAATCCAACCATCCATTAACCTTTTTGCTCACACTCTTTTGCTGATAAAACTGCCTGTACTGCTTGTACAAAAATGTGCTTGTACTCCTTAGGGTGTGATGTGGAAGGCTTGCTTCAGTCATAGATTGACTCTTTCCTCAAACAGCTGTTCTTCTTTGATGAGAACTAATGTCACTAGATATCTATTTCAGGTATAATTCCTAAGGTTTTGAGACCTATAGGCTGGTATCAGTGACTCTGTGTGTGTAAACGTGTGTGGGGAAAAGAATAATTAAATGAAATTGGGAACTTAGCTCTGGCATCTTAGTTCTAACACTGATAATAACAACTTTAAGGACTCAGTATTTGGAGTGGTTTTCATACAATGAGAGGATTGATAAACTAAGTGGGATTTTTTTTTTTTTTTGACTCTTAAAGGACTGAACTGTCCCTGTAGATACGGAATAGTTTACTGTTTCATCTTGTATTCCTTAGTTTCTGAAATGACATGGAAATAAATTGAAAACAGGATTTCCTTTTTTTTTGTTAATCATCCAAAGCCAATGGGTATTAAACATGATGGTCTGGATGGTGGAACTGACTCGAAAAGCCTCTGAATGCTTATTTTTCAAAGGCTGAAATTGTGCTTGGGGAAAGTACTGCTTTGTAAACATCCTGTTTCTCAGTTTGCCTGAGTATTTGCTATTGATTATTAGTGGGAACTGTCCCTGTAGATACGGAATAGTTTACTGTTTCATCTTGTATTCCTTAGTTTCTGAAATGACATGGAAATAAATTGAAAACAGGATTTCCTTTTTTTTTGTTAATCCAAAGCCAAAAATGGGTATTAAACATGATGGTCTGGATGGAAGCTCTGACTCGAAAAGCCTCTGAATGCTTATTTTTCAAAGGCTGAAATTGTGCTTGGGGAAAGTACTGCTTTGTAAACATCCTGTTTCTCAGTTTGCCTGAGTATTTGCTATTGATTATTAGTGGTAACAGGATAGTGGCCTGGATGAACCTGTAGTTTAACCTGCTGAAGCAGTTTTTAACTCTTCTCTTTGTTAGGGCACCTTTATAAGGTAAATGTGCCTGTTATGGTTACACAGGCAGGAGATGCAAGTATTCTACATCATCCTGTTCAGCAGATATTTCAGCCCCTTGGGCAACATTCAGTTCTGCAAGCCAACATTGCCGGTGTTGCACAGGTGAATGCATCTTCTGCCCAGGCAGCTGCTGAAACATTGCAACCCCAGGAGACTGCTGTCCAACAGACCATGGTATTTCAACCAAATGTCATGGAAAAAACCCACCTGGAGAACTCTGCCAATACTACGTTGGTCCAGCAGCCTTCTGTGAGTCAGCAGCAACTTGTGACTAATGCAGTGTTGAATCAGCATGCAGACTCAACAGAAAAATCTCAGCATGGCAACCTTCATACAGCTGTGTTTACTCCAGAATCCTCTGAAGGGTTTTCTCCTGCTGAATCCTTGGCAAACAACTCGAGTGGTATCCTGCTGGATGTGGAGGGGCAGTTAGACATTGAGCCTCAAGAGGCAGTGCAGCAGCAGGTGTCTGATGATATCATTGACCTGATTATCACGGGCAAAAGTTTGGATGATAAAGCTGTTCTGAAAGATCAGGACAGCATTGCTTCCTCTGACAAGGTAAGGCCTTTTATTTCTCAGCTGGTGAAAATACATCCATTGGAGACGGTTGTTTGAAGTATCATAAGAGATGCGATTAGACACATCTGTAAGTGACAAGTAGCACCTCTAAATTATAATAATAAAAATTATAATTTTAAAGTTAATTTTTGAGCTTGTTTTGAATAGCAGTAGCTGGCTGCTTATTTTTACATTAAGAATTTGTTACAAATATTGCTGAAATACTGGGATTGGAGAGAATGTCAATCTAAAAAATGCTAAAAGTGTAATAGATAGTAAGTCTAAGATTACATTATATCTATTTTTGGGGATAATGGTTTTCTTTTTTTTGTGACTGAGCAGACATGAATGACCCTTTGAGAACTTCCATGTCATTCTGACATGTGCATGTGGATATTGGCCAGTTGTGGGTAAATTGCTTTTGCAGTGTCAGCTGGGATTAGTTTTAACTTGTAATGTGTGAAAAGCATTTAACTTGCATTAAGAAGGCATATTGAGTATGAAAAGTCAGATTTGATAAGTGAAAATCTGCTGGAAGGAAATGTATTTCCTTGGGAAAAAATCCTGAACAAACTCGAATTCAGCTAGAGCTGTGTGGAAAACTTGAATTAATTTAATTAACAAGCCACCTTCCTGACCTCATCTAATTCTTGTTCCAGAAATTATTTGCAGATGTTTTAAGTTCAGGCTGGCTTGCTGACTTTGAGTTGTAGTGCTTATATGTGATTGAGGCAAATTTATTAAATGCAGATTTAATGACAGTAATGACAAATGACTGTAAATAGAAAGCATGTTATGTTGCTCAGCTGAACTTTGATGGCAGGTTGGTGAAGACAGTCCATAGCAAGAATGGAAGGTCAAAACAAAGTGTTATTTTCTTGAACTAGAAAGCGTGTGTGGATGTGAATTAAGTGCTACAATAAAGATTTAATGAGAAACTGAAGATGGCTGAAAGCTTAAAGCCCTTCTATGCTCATGTGAATGCTCAGTCTAGGAATTCTAGCACTTTTATGAACAGTAACTTGAAGTACTGAAATACTTACTGTCTCTCTCAGCTTTTTATATCTTATTTAAACAAGGCATTTTTATTGAGGGAGAGGGATGAGTTAATCTTTTATTTTAAAAATGAAAAATGCTATTTTGGGGGGCGGGGGAGTAGCTTGTTTCCTTTTTTTTGGCTTTATTTTGTTTTTGAAATTTTCTTTGCAATAGAAATTCTAAAGGCCAGCTCAATCATCTTTTTCTTAAGAAGTTGAGTACAATAGTGTTTAAAGAAAAGTCTAAGAGAATGTCTTTCTATATTGCTTGAGGAATATTTTCCTCTCAGAGGCTATACAGCAGCAATGGAGGCACAGGATGGATAAGTGTAACATTTTAAAGATTGACCTACAAAACTGAAATTATGATGATCAAGTCCCAGTCGTCACAAATCAGATAGGATAGAAACAGGAATTTGGCATGGATTCCATTTAAGGTTAGGTGTAAGAATAAGATTTGCAAATGTACTCAGGGTTTACAAGTAGGCCAGGACTTGAAACTCTCATTTTAGTGCGCCAATCTTGTTGCTTTATTAAACAAAAATCTCAGGCTTTGTACTGAACAATGAAAGCTATGTGGTTTTAATTCACAAGCTGTCTCTGGTCTCTTTTATTCCTGTCAGATGGAACCTACTGAGCAGATGGAATCTAATTTACGATCAGAGAAGGATATCTGCAGTGACATTGAAGGCATAATTCAGCTAGATGGAACTGGTGATGTTTCTCCCAAGGAAGAAATACCACATACAAAAGATAGGGAAGAGAATGAATTCATTGGCATTATTGAATCAGAGGATCTAAAAGTTCTGGAGGATGTGGATGAGGAAGACGATGATGAAGAATGTGACAGTATTTCAAACACTGAGTCTAGCAGCAGTGGTGGATTTGATAAGTGAAAATCTGCTGGAAGGAAATGTATTTCCTTGGGAAAAAATCCTGAACAAACTCGAATTCAGCTAGAGCTGTGTGGAAAACTTGAATTAATTTAATTAACAAGCCACCTTCCTGACCTCATCTAATTCTTGTTCCAGAAATTATTTGCAGATGTTTTAAGTTCAGGCTGGCTTGCTGACTTTGAGTTGTAGTGCTTATATGTGATTGAGGCAAATTTATTAAATGCAGATTTAATGACAGTAATGACAAATGACTGTAAATAGAAAGCATGTTATGTTGCTCAGCTGAACTTTGATGGCAGGTTGGTGAAGACAGTCCATAGCAAGAATGGAAGGTCAAAACAAAGTGTTATTTTCTTGAACTAGAAAGCGTGTGTGGATGTGAATTAAGTGCTACAATAAAGATTTAATGAGAAACTGAAGATGGCTGAAAGCTTAAAGCCCTTCTATGCTCATGTGAATGCTCAGTCTAGGAATTCTAGCACTTTTATGAACAGTAACTTGAAGTACTGAAATACTTACTGTCTCTCTCAGCTTTTTATATCTTATTTAAACAAGGCATTTTTATTGAGGGAGAGGGATGAGTTAATCTTTTATTTTAAAAATGAAAAATGCTATTTTGGGGGGCGGGGGAGTAGCTTGTTTCCTTTTTTTTGGCTTTATTTTGTTTTTGAAATTTTCTTTGCAATAGAAATTCTAAAGGCCAGCTCAATCATCTTTTTCTTAAGAAGTTGAGTACAATAGTGTTTAAAGAAAAGTCTAAGAGAATGTCTTTCTATATTGCTTGAGGAATATTTTCCTCTCAGAGGCTATACAGCAGCAATGGAGGCACAGGATGGATAAGTGTAACATTTTAAAGATTGACCTACAAAACTGAAATTATGATGATCAAGTCCCAGTCGTCACAAATCAGATAGGATAGAAACAGGAATTTGGCATGGATTCCATTTAAGTTTAGGTGTAAGAACAAGATTTGCAAATGTACTCGGGGTTTACAAGTAGGCCAGGACTTGAAACTCTCATTTTAGTGCGCCAATCTTGTTGCTTTATTAAACAAAAATCTCAGGCTTTGTACTGAACAATGAAAGCTATGTGGTTTTAATTCACAAGCTGTCTCTGGTCTCTTTTATTCCTGTCAGATGGAACCTACTGAGCAGATGGAATCTAATTTACGATCAGAGAAGGATATCTGCAGTGACATTGAAGGCATAATTCAGCTAGATGGAACTGGTGATGTTTCTCCCAAGGAAGAAATACCACATACAAAAGATAGGGAAGAGAATGAATTCATTGGCATTATTGAATCAGAGGATCTAAAAGTTCTGGAGGATGTGGATGAGGAAGACGATGATGAAGAATGTGACAGTATTTCAAACACTGAGTCTAGCAGCAGTGGTGGTGATAATGAAGAGCCCCAAATAGATATAGTTGAGGAGGTAACTTACTTTTAAGCCTTGTGAAGCACATTACAATAGTTTATCTATCTTGACTGTTGAATTGTTGGACCCAGAACAATTCCTGGTAAGTTTAATGCGGAGAATGCATAGTTAAGTTACATGCCTCTTGAGACAGGAGGTACTACTGAGAAATTACTTGAGCTCATTATGAGGAATGTGAACAAATGAAAGAGATGTTGAGAAGTTATTTGTTTATTGGATGAATTAAAATACTTAATTACCAGAATTAAAGTTCTATGGTGAAACCCTGGCCGTGGTGGAATGGAATTCTGCTTTTCATTTAAGTAAGATCAGGATACAAATCTAGGTTTCTTTTCCTTCTGAAGGACCACAGGGAATTAGACAGAGAAGAGAACAATGTGATACAAGTACGTATGTTTCCTAGGAAAAGGCTTTTCTTAAAGATGTGCAATTTTGGGTCCTAGAGATTCACCAGAGAATCAACTCGTAGCATCTGGACTTCAAATAAATACCAGTTGATTAGTATTCCAGTTATTGGGGTCAGCTTTGTCAGTTAGCAGTCTTGCTTTTTTACCTGTGTTTTTGTTTAGGGTGTTTTTGTTTTTGAGAACATAAGCATGTAAAGATGCCTATAAATGAGCTTTGTGCAACATGGTCTTCATAGCCTCTACGTCTTGATTTTTTGCACTGGTAACCTTTATTGTTCTAGGTGTGTTTAATGTCAAGTATATTCAATGCTATTCTGAAAGAATGTCTAAAATACAATTTTAATCTCTAGGACCCCTTAAATTCTGGTGATGATGTCAGTGAACAGGACGTTCCAGACTTGTTTGACACAGACAATGTGATAGTTTGTCAGTATGACAAGGTACAGTATATAGTTTTATCTCTGTTCCTTAATCATTCTAAATAATATCTTCAGCAAATCCATGTCTGGTCTACTGTCAGTACCTTTCAAAGAAAATCCAATGCTGTAATAATTGAGTGTTCAAATTATATGTTTAGCTGACAATAGTCTGAAGACTTACCTGCTGTTTTCTGAAATGAGGATAATCAACGCGTTCATAATGGCCTATTAAAGGAAAAGGAAAGGGGACCAAATCGTGCAAAATTAAGATTTGTAAAGCTGCAAAAGCTTATGCATTTCCTTAACTTTTAAGTAATGTCAACAGCTCCATGGATGTGTGTATGCATTTTCAGCCATAAAAGAAGACTTTTGAAATGCATAACAGAAAAAGGAGTGTGTTGTACTTTCTTTTATATTTTTTGTCTTTGAAGTGCTTCATGAGAGATTTTCTTTTATATTTTTTGTCTTTGAAGTGCTTCCTGAGAGATTTTCCTATCAGAAGTCTGTTGTGTCTGAAAAGCAAAACAGTTATTAGGGGCGATTTTGTCCTCCTTCATTTTAATGTTTAAAATTCAACCTCATTTTGAACTCTTAAAGATCAAATTAAGTACCTTCTAACTCTGGTATGGTTTTGGACACTTACATGTCAGTAGTTTATAAGTTGACAAAACAAAGTCCATATCTTATTTTGAAACAAATATGGAAAAGTAAGTCTATAGTTTGCTTAAGAATGTGCTTTGGCATTTATTCTTTCAAAAGCAACTAAACATAATGTTTTGTGTGTGTGTTCAACTAGGCCTGCCTTAATGGTGTCAGTGTTGTAGGAAACAGCTTCTAAGAAAATTGTCTTTACTAAAGTGTAACAGATTGAGTGTTTCTGAAACTAGTTATTTTGGAAAATGTAGTTACAGGTTTATGTGTCAAATGCATCTGAAATTGAGCCACAGTGTCTGTATTGTATTGAAAAGGTACACAGAGTTTTGAAGCTTCATAACTTAGTTTGATGTTACAGATGCTATAGGTAGTGGATATTGTTATCTATAGCAATGTACTGAGTTGTAGATTCGGTTTAAAATTTTTTAAAACTGCTATGATGTTCAGCATTGGACATGTCTATAGGAAATTTAAGATCAGATGTTATTAGAAATTAACAGAGAAGCTAGGGGGAGATGTTGGCAACCTCCCTCTTTCCTAAATAGATTGAATAAAACATAACAGGTCTAGTAGAAAGTAGATGGAAATAGTTATCTATTAAATTACCTTGTTACGTATAAAAGAATGCTATAGGCAAAATGACTGTCCTGTGTTGGGTTTTCCCGCCTTTTTCTTTCTGGACTTGAAAATAGACTGCTTAAAAAAATCTAAGGAATTTTCTAAAGTTGTTTAAAATTCCTTCTTTTAGTATTTAACACGAACTTTCTGCAGTATAGCTTGTTTTGCAGGCCTTTAAATAAGAACGAATTTGCTTATTCTGTTTCTTTTGTTTTATATGGCAGGATTTGCTTTTGAGCAACCTTTTCCTGCTTTTAGCCTTACTCTAATGCCCCTGTGCATGCCATACGGCGCTGCCATGTGTATGGGAAAAGAAAAACACTGCATTTCAGTTAAGCCATACTTGTTTGCAAGGTGCAGTATAGTTTGGGACTGATACACTAACGAAATTGCACCATTATTGTCTTGTTTTCCTGCCAGGGTTGAGCTTTCACACAGCTACCTTTGTGTCTTTTTTTTTTGGGGGGGGGGGGGGGGGGGGTGGGGGGGGGGGTGG